TATCAGAACAGATATCTTCCATCTAAAAGGAAAACATGAACAAAATCTTTAATCTCCATAATCCAACATATCGAGTTGAAAATCTCTCGATACCTAGTCGGGACCGAATCGCCTCGTCTGCCAGGAAATTGGCACATCTCTACGTGAGTGGTTTCAGTTTCGCAGCATCTGTGGGAAACTGCCACACCACTATTACTGCTCCAAGCGTTTTAGATTACTTTCGTATCTGGTATTATTGAGTTTATTTGTGTTTGAGTTGTGATAACCTCGATAATCTTGTAATCGCAATTGTGGCTAGTAATACATTTGTGGGTTGAGTGTGAGTACTATTCTTCAGGTAGGCTTCAATAGTCCATATTTTATATAAGCATTTGGGGTTAAAGCATCCAAAAGTCGAATTTCATTGTGCTTGCAACTGGACTGACAAGGTAGTCCAAGTAAGATAAGATTATCTCTATGTATCTGTATGTACCACATCCTATTTACATGGACCTTACAAAAACTTCTATAACCATTTTCCCAGTTTTCAATAAAAACAACCCAATCCGGGTAATGCCGCTAAAAATAGCCAATCAAAATATTGGTCCTTTTGGTTCTTTGAATAGACATTGTGGTCCTCAAGTCCTGAATAAGGACCACCTCTCGCCTCTAAGTGTTTTTATAACAGACGCTTGACAGCTTTATCGGGTGGAACGGGCATCGGACAAATATTTTTTCAAAAGTAACTACGGAACAATAATATGAACGTCTTTCTTGACGCTTTTTACTTGACAAACAATATTGACTTGAGGTTATAAAGCGGAATATTACATACTTTAATAGCACTATAGTTTAAACAATTCTACGGACATGTCTCCTCTTTAAACTACAGAATTTCTATGTAGTAGGTACAAGTAACGGTATTCCAGAATGTATCATGTTCTTAAGTACTTATTACTTTGTCCTCACCATCAAAACAGAGCATTTTATTTATGTTTATAGTTTGCGATAAAATGTAATAACAACGCACAACATCAGAATTTCCGACATGCAGTCATTCATAAAGATGTGTATCAGGTATCAGCGTTGAATATGTGATGTTAATTCCTCCTAACGAACAATAGTTATTTAGTACACAAACAACATCTTTGATTTCATATTCACATTAAGTTACTTGAAACTGGTTTTAAATATACATATATTACAAATATCTAAAAATGATTTTCTTTGAAATAAATATCACAGCTTGCAGTAATACCAGCTGTTCCTATTTCGAATTTTTGTTTAAAACTAATTATGAATTTGGTCTTTTGAGCATCGAGTTTTTTGGTCCTTTTTGTATTTCATGTTTCGTTGTTCAGTCTTTACTTTGACCTGTTTAGCAAAAAGAAATTATAGTGTGTTCTACTATAACCTGTTGTTTTAGTTTTATTTATAACGATACACATTTTCGCACAGTTACTGTTATTGACTAAAAACAATATGTTTAATGTACCTTGTTTTCAATTGTTATAGATAATTTATTATCTTTAAAACATAAAACAATAAAGCGGTGGTCATAAATAATTATACCGTCATAAACACGCTTTTACTGCCACAGGCATCGAATTTATAACAATTCGATAGTTTCACAATTATTATAACTCCGATTTTCCGTTTTCTAGGCACGCTTCTAAAATGGCTATTATTTAGTTATTCAGCAAACTGCATAGATATCTAACTACACTAAATTGTGGTGTTTTTCGTACTTTCTCCGAGTTCGTGACAACCTCTGATTGACGTACTCAAGTTCTAAATAAAGAGACACGATTATTACCGATAGTTCCTGGTTTTCTATGTTCCCGTTTAAACTGACTGAGGCTCTTGTTATAATGTTAATACATATTTGGTTAATACATTTGTGGTTTTCTCTAAACTTGCAACGAATTTAGATTTCATATAGAACCTCTTTTTACCTTACCCTTACGTTGGTCGATATTTTCATAGCAAAATTAAGAACTATTCGTGGCCAAAACCTACATTCTCTGTCTGACATAACTGATGTGCGCACAAGGGTACTGTACCAAATTGCAAAATCTTCAGTTTGCCACCTGCATTTATAGCGTTAGCGACTTAGACATAAAATTTTACAGATTCTCATGTTTTAGTGTCGAGTTTCCGATTTACGACTAATGTTCACTCGTAGAATTTGTTAAGTTTTATTGGGTTTTCCTGCAAAAATAGACAATTTTAGGGGTTCAAGTCAAAAACTGTATCATGATTGAGAAATGACCTCATCCGTCTCTGAAACACTATGGAATCTAAACCAAATACACACCAAGTTAATAATCTTTAATTGGCAGGAAATTGGATACACTTTTGCCAAATATACGTATGTGACTTCAAACTAATCGGAACCAGTTTATATCAGCCATTTTAATATGTAATTAGGTTCAGTGTTCGACATAACTGATATCTGCAATTAGAAAGCGTGTATTTTTTTGCGTTGTGTTTACCGGAATTTGGGACCGATAAAACAGTAGTTGGTACTTACTTAGATTATAATTCAAGTTCAGTGTTGTTTCGGTAATTATTTTGTAAACGTATAAATAACTTTAATTTTCGTTCGTCGTCGTCTTGCGTTCTATTAAATCTGCTAAAGTTTTGGATAGGTAAACATAACATAACATTGTGGCTTTTAAACCAGGAGGCCCAATTACATCCCCCTTCCCCAATCCTTGAATCCCGAACAATCCTAATTCCTAATCCCTAAGGCCGGTAACGCACTTGTACCGCCACATGCTTACCATCAGGTAATTCATCTACTCGTTTACTGGCTTTGTATTACTGCGGTATTTTCAGTGTTGAAAAAATTAATCTGTGAGTGCTTATACTTCACAGGCCAGGAATCAAACTCAGGACCCCTTGGTCGGCAGTCGTATGGACGCCAATTGTTATGTAGTTAAGACTAACACGAAACTGACCCTGATCTAGAATTGTAACCAATTAGATAGATCTAGAAATATCATAAGACTACAATTAATTACACTGCCGATTTTACATCAGCACTGCGTCACAAAAGTCATTAGTTGATTATCTCAAACACTATTATTATCATACATAAATAATTATAAAAATAATGCAATAATACTGTTAATCAAAAGTATTAAATCTAATAAGCACATGTATCAAATGGATTCCTTGCGAATTCTTTACTTATCCAAAGATAATAACTTTAATCTCTATTTTTATTTTTGTCTAATAATCGTACCATATAAATATTTGATGTACATTCCTAATTGTTGTCACATCCGTTGTTAATTCTTTTTGGTATATGCTGTTATATAACAATTATTATGTGAATGGGTTTTTCTTTACCGAAACATTCCGAATCTGACCTGAACCTAAACCGATAGCTGACGTCTTTTTTTACTTTCTAAATAGTAAATCTAAGTAGCCTAGAAATTTGTCCATTTTTATAGAATTAGTTTTGTACCATAGTGAAGGTCCAACAGAGAAACTATAATAGTTTTCTATGTCACTATAACTACACACAAACCATTGCAATATCAAACTACACACATACACACATCAAGCTATGCAAAACCCGTATAAACTGATCGTTGAATGTGCAAGAAGATCATAGAAATCGAGACCATGATATACTGGTTGTGTATAGGTCGTTGTACAAAGCTACTTATCTAACAGGACAAACAATTTCCCAAACAAACATTCGCTCTTACCTCCACAGAACTTTAACTAGCTAACTAACTAAGCAAACTGTTAAATATTGTAGTTAAAACAAAACGTTTGCCTTAAGTGCTAACTTTCATTATACTGCTATGAACATTGCAGTTGCTTTTTAACTTAAACTTACATTATAAAGTTTCGACATTAATCTACTTTAAGTTATGTTTGTGGACTTAAGTTATTTTTCTAGGTTATTTTCATAATGCTTGGTGGTTTTAGGTGTAAAATACTCTTTGTCAAGAGTATTTAAAAACTTTTACTTACTTTACTTACTCATGGGACTAAGAATCTAAGTTGATTAAAGTTATTTACAATGCAAAACTTTTCGTTAGTTAAAATAATAAAAATCCTTAATACTCATTCACTCTGAGGCTCACTGTATTCTAGAAGTCAAGCTCACGGTCTAAAAGTCCTCAAAGAGCCATCAGACTACCGCAGATGGGGCTCAATAGGGCTGATGCCCGATACGGAACCGCAGAAGGCTTAACGAGTTGCCGGGGTTCCAGCTTGAAGAGCAGGACTTGGAACAGGGTGGTTTTAGTCAGTAAGAGTCTGACACTCCCTCTCCCCTATTTCAAGGAGGGAGAAGCCATTGGATGATTTTACCCTTCAAAAAAAAGCCGTCTAAAAGTCTACCTACATGTCCTTTTGGGGAATAAAATACCCGTTTTGGAGCTAGAAAACACAATTAAGATTGCGATCATTATCATCTCCATTTTAATTCGGGAACAAAATATTTTCACAAACGAAACAGCTACGCGTTCTATCTCTTTCACTCTGTCACGAACGTTGCCCTATTTCCTAGCAGTTGCAAAAGCGTCCCAAAAACGTCCGAGTAAGCAAATATTTAACTGAGATAGTGAAAATATTTACAAGTGCCGGTTACAAAGGGCTTGTTGCTAAAGAGGGAGATTCCTAGGCATCTTTGATACTTGAAACTGATGTCTTTAAACTCTGTGATGCTGTTTTATTTAGAACAAACGTAAGTCAGAAGAATGATACAAAAGATCGCGTTTGTATAAATATAGAGTATAAGCTAGTATCTTTGATACCTTAAACTGAAATTTTTAAACTGAGATGCTATTTTGTTTAGTGAAGACTATGAAAGATACAAAGAATGCATTCAAAATGCAAAATCTTCATATAAACTTGTTAGAAGCATTTATCTATTAAACTTAACAGCTATAAAACCAAATGCAATTATACTTACATCCTCAAAAAATTGGTCTTTTAATACGAACATTTTCATTTTTATCACAACTTCTCTAACCATCTATTTTCCTTGTTCACAGCTTCTCTCAGAAGGTAGACGAAGAAGAAGGGACGGGTGGGGTGGCTCTACATCCCCCCGACGGATTCTATACCCACCAGCATTCAATCCACGCCCATCATGCCCACACTGCAGAACCCGATCGAGGATACATGGAGGGCAACAGATATGTCACTGCAGTTCATCGACCTTTACCTGGTAAGTAGAAATTTTATGCCTCAGTTAAGGATGATAGCAATCAATGGAATAGGGTAAAAAATATACTTGTTATGTTATTAGTTCCAAACGATGCGGGATGAAATCTTATGATGAGGAATTGGTATGAAGAGTTATTAACATCTTACTTCAATTGCATATGAAAAAATCTTTCTACTTATGCATTTTGTGATAAAGACGGCTTTCAAAACTTAACCCCTATCTGACCAGCTCTGAGTTCCTTGAACTTGTATCTCAAATGTAAATATCATTTGAATATTATAGCCTACATTTCTCTCGTATGACCACAAGTACATGCAAGTACCAGCAACGAATTCCATATAATGCAATTCCAGCTCTAAACCACTCGAACTCGTCATGCTCGTCGGCGTCGAACGCGTCCACGGGGGCGGGGCTGTGCGTGGGCGCAGCCGAGCCGGCGCCACCGCTGTACATCGCCGCCCCACCAGAGGGCTTTGGACACGCGGTTCATACAAACAGGTCAGTGGAATGCAAACACAGCAATATTACCTTTTCTGTGCATAGCTATTGGGTCACATCAGTTGTATCTTTTATTTGTAATATAAATGTATGGGAATGGGTGTAGATTCATTGGTGATTAATTTATTGTATTGTATATGTTTATTGTTGTCTTGTCTGTAAATAAATGTTTGGGTTATATGGTCTTATGGGAAATGTGATGGGGAAATTGTCTTACTAACATGTGTATTATGTTTTCTTTACTTTTTAATTCCTTCCATAGGCGAGGCACAGATGTGTCCATCATGGGCATGGGTTCGACGGGGATCACCCAAAAAGATCCCACTTTACCCCAAAAAAGGGGTAAATTGACTAGAGGGTATGTCGTGAACCTCAGGAATGTGTATTGTGTGCCCTTAACACTTAGATAACACTTAACTCCTATCTAAACTCGAAAATAAAACTTCCTATTCTTTCAAATAAAATGAAAGATCGAATTCTAATCATTACTGATACAAATTACAGAAGTGGGCTTTGTCTATATTTAAATTGTAGTTGCCAAACCAAAACGACTAATCACATAGTAAAAATTGGTCTTTGTACCAAACAACTCGATAAAAATTTCAAAAAATTTTAAGCCACCATAACTACCAAACCTCAATATTATGCAGTCTTATCATTTAAATCCCCACAATCGTAGCGATCCTTATCAGAGATTGGCATTTAATTTACCCTTGCAGCTGTCATTTGCATCCACAATCAGTAATTTCAAAGCCAAACGATAACAAACAACTGGTCCTTGTTGGTCCTTCGATACGAAATTGTAATTGAAATTAAATTTTCAATAAAATCTATCACACTTTGATTATGGACATAACCTTGTGTCAGTGTAATTTGTATCAGATCATAAGTAATTTAATACTTCGCAATTCACCTGTTAAAACCAAGGCATGAATTTTAGTACTTGTAAGGTCCTGGTCCACTTTTTCGCATGACTTATGGATTTACTGTGAAATATTCTTTTCCCCAACATTACTGCCGGGAAAAACACTGGGAGTACAGATTATTTCAGTTGTATTCTTGTCTCTTGTTTCATTGCCATATGAATATGGTTGAATAATTGTTCTTAACAAACTGATAACTTTATGGATTATAACAAGAAAAATTTACTACAAAATGCTATATCATGTAAAACTTTTAATGACAATTAAAGAGTAATTAGTACATACATATTTTTGTGATAATTGCATCCAAAACATTGTGATCGTTGTAACCAATTCAAGGTCAGACATAACGTCAAAAATGTAAATTCTACGTCACCAGAAGCGATGTCACAATTTTTGTTAGCCCTGAAAATACAAAAAGCGATACTTAGTCTCCCTTTATTTTCTTACAAAAAATATATATATAATCTTACATCGACGGCCAATTTATTATTGTCTAGTAACAAAAACCACAAATGAATTTGTCATTAAGTACCTACCTATCCTTACTAATGATATCTAATCATGCAGTTAAAGTGGACCTAATTTGATTGAAAACCAATTTAAAATCTTAACGTAAGTCTTCAAAAGTTAACAGCATGTATCTTTTACTAAACAATTTACTTGTAATTTGAAATCCTCTTCTAATATTAAGATCATTCATAACGCTATGAAAAACTTTCTTGCAACGACAATCTACTGTCTATTAGATTTTTGGCAATACCTCATTAGTTCTCACTTTAACACGAATTGATATAATTAGACCCTTCAGTAAAATTTCAGTCTTATTCATAAAGATAATAAAATCTATTTTGGCTATGGATTTTTTGTATTTTTCATTCAGAAATATTTTGACAAAACTTTCCATTAGCTAAAGATTTTTGTGAATAATGCAAATATTTTAAATAGAATGCAGGTTTTAATATAATCATATATATCTTATTATTACTATAAACAAAATATAAGAATCTCACTGTCATCAAATAATTTAATCGATTAATCTGAATTAAATAATCTTCTTCAAAAACCCATCATTTGAATGAGCACTAACCTTCTAATTTCATCCCTGTACATGTATTGGTAAAATGAACATCAAGTTGTTAAAATACCCATTCACACAACACCACAGAATCTTGCTTGTCCACAAATATCAAAATTATAAAGCAATCTCCCGTTACAGTAATAGATCATTTTGTTCCATCAAACCCTTCTTAGTTTACTTGATCACAATATTTCTTTAGAAATTGGTCTTCTATACCTTTCTATCTCTAATGCTTATTACATTATAATGAAATTAGAAATTCTAATTAGGATTTGCTAAGAATTACGTTTTCCTAATGCTATAAGGGAAAGTGCATTAATAATGCTATTACTGCAGTCTTCATTTCATAATGACACGCGAGGTTTAATTTGATGGAAATCTTTTCTATGACCTTTCTCTTACATGTAGACAGAGCATCAATCTTGTGAACTTAGTCCTACGTAGAGAATGTAGTTATTTGAAATCTTCTTCATCGTAGTTCTGTATTTAAAAGATGGATCCCATTTATCGGTTCCAAAACTTGAAATTCTACTATCACTTACATACATGAGAATAGAACACATACCATGTATCCCACTGCTGTCCCCAACACGAAATCCAGTGCAGCACACCCATCACACAACACAGCTTACAAAGATGTTCATTTTACCATCCCCAAAAACCCCAAATTCATTACAAAATCACCTTCCAGCCGTTATGAAATGTCCCAAGACCTTCTGGACAAACAAACGGAGATCCTAGAACGAAGGTACGGAGGGTTGAGAGCAAGAAGGGCTGCGGTGACCATCCAGAGGGCGTTTAGGAGACGACAGCTGCTGAAGAAGTTTAGTGCCATCACAGCTATGGCTAAGGCCGCTGACTCGAACGCGAGGAGGCTGCAAGATGGGCCCGAACATGGGCAACTAGTCAATGGTGTGTATATCTCCTTATTCCTCAAAATTTTTCTAAAACTATTATGTCTAAAAAGAAGATATGTGTTTCTCGATTTCTTTAATTCTAAATCGTTTTCCCTAGGATAGGTACTAGGAAAATATAGCAATTTCAGTTTAAGTTATCTGCACCAAAAGCCAGTTTAGCCAGTTATGTTAATCCCAATATAATGACTGGACTGTGATACTATGTATTTAGAATTAGAAAACAGCAGATAATTTTAAAATGTTCATGAATATTTTTTTTCGTCGTTTATACGTGTCTTCATTATTATTTATGATTGTAGGTACAGATATATACGCAAACACGCTACTACAGAAGAGTCCTGGTGGTGTGGAGAAGTCCTTAGCACTGACCAGGCCCATGAGGTCCATGTCGTTACGGGAACGACACGACATTGATATGAGGTAAGAAAAAATTCTTGGTTCATTTGTGGCTTTATGTTGTCAAAATATGTTCGTCTATCATGAAGGTGGAATTGGATATCCATTTTAATGTCCAATATGTAAGAAGGGGAACGGATAAGATCAATGATAAATATAACCCTCCATCTGAAACAGCGGGTAAAGGTATTATGGTTTACTTGGGATCAAAACTTGGTCCACATTTCTATATTTCAAGACAGGTGCTGAAAATTTTACTTTGACATTACCACATATTATTACTGATCTTTAGATCAGAGATAGTTCAATGCCAAAAAACACTACAATACCGTAATAATTACCATGCCATTAAATAAAATATCAAAACCAAAGCACTTAACAATACTTTCGTATTAAAAATCTACAAACTTTAACGTCACACTTACAATGCCCAAAGACCTTATTTAATACTTATACATAAAATGTACTTAACATTACATAAAAAACGGTAACAAACCAATCGTTTTGTTACAAGTTCTCACCATGAATACTAAAATACAAATAATGTTTAACAGAGGTCGCTTACTTAATTTATAATCAGGCGACGCCCGTTATCTTTACGGCCTGAAAGTAGCGCGCATATTTAAATAATTTTACTCTGCAATATGTAAATTACAACTCTATTTTGTAAGGTATAAAGTCTCATTTTGTAGTGATACCATTTTGGTCCTTTTGGTGAAATATTGTAAGATGTGTTGTAAGGTGACTTGGGTCCCAAAGGACCATGATTGGGTTTTTCAGGGATTCGATTACTCGTTTGTTAATATTTATGCTGGTAAGGGTTGAAGCAGTTTTTAATGTGTGGTTTGTAAATAAATAACGATCAAGTCAAGGTTTATTTATTTTATCATCCATTTTTGCTATTGTGTGAAGTAGCTTTATGTCAGTATATCATTTTGGCAGCCATTGTTTCGTGCCATTTGGAAGGTTATGGAGTTTATGGTGGTGTCTAATAAGAAGTTTTAGTAGAAAAGGAAAGTGTATGCTGTAACTTCAAGGTCAAAGAAGCAGTGAAACAATATATTTTGATACTGAAAATTGATTTCAATGTCAACATTATTTACCTGACCTGATTTAGATAGGTACAATGTATATACTCTTGAATTTGCTAAGAATACGGCACTTGACTTAATGCTAATTAACTTTTATTATAATTCCAGCAATCACATGGTCTGCGACCCTCAAAGCGAGGTGGAAGCCATGGTGGCAAGAGTCCAGCAGTCAGCCCATCAGATTCACATGATCGCAGCTGATATGCCACCCCTACACCGCGGAGATGCTGACAGTGGGGTAAGCACAACTGCATACTATTTGTTACACTAATATCACCCTTAAGACTGGTAGATAAGGCTGTTATTTGGGCACTTGTATATTGCACTTATGCACTTTATGCAGGTAGGCGGTAAATAACATACAGCTATACAAGCTTGATCATTAATGGTAAAGGTCTTGATTAACCATTTCCACCTTGGTCTCAGGTGATTTGGACTAACCATGTAGATAAGGGTTCGGTATAATACTCTATATTCGAAATAACAGAACACAACAGACTATCTCTAACATTGAAAATATATTTTTGACAGCTGTCATTATGACATTGACATCTGTCACACTGAATTGACAGCTGTCTAATCAAATTTTTATTTGGGGAAATATTGGTGCTATTATATTGCTATCAGTTTTTAATCATGTAGATAATACGATTAGGCCATGAGTCAATGAATTAATTAATTGATTGATGTTAAAAAGGATATCCTTTGATTTGTCCAATAGATTAGATTGCTCATCCCCTTAGAATCCGGGATTGAAGTAGCACATAATTTTTGAATGATGTCAGCATATCAATTCCTTATATGCATAAAATATTTAGCCAAATTTGATAAGATAATCAAGCGCCAGGTATTTTTTGAGTTTATATTTCATCATTCACTTTGATACGATAAAATCCTTTAACCTTGATGGAAGGCCAAGATTTATACTGTCCCTTAACAGACCTTAACAGTGATAGTGATTACTTATTTATAACAAAATTCACAGTTTTCAAACAATATAGACAACATCTACAAACCATTGTAGAACCATGGATTTTCTTCTCCATTCGAAACTACACTTTGGAACGACTGTCTAGCTTCACTGACAAACGGACGGACAATTCAAATTATGACGTTTCAAACGTGTCTAATTAATGATTGATTGAAACAAATGTTTTGACTTTAACCATTATTACAGCCAATAATGGATTCACAATTTGTTTACTTAATATACATAATTACATAACTCGCTACAGAACTGAACGGGAGATTGCAATTTACTAACTTATCATAATTATTATATTATGTCTGATAAAACTATATAAGGTATAAAACTTGTAAAGGAGGGTTTACCCACCATTCTGCTTAGCAGTACGCGCTTCCTCGAAAAGGGGTTTCGGGGAAGCTGCTAAGGCAAATCGTACATGAGAAAAATATACTTAAATACATAAACAATAAAAAAAAAAGTTCCGCGAAATTATTTTCTTCGAGGAAGTTTATACTGTACAAATATTGAAATATTAAAATAAATTCTAGTTATATATACAGAACTATTTTATCTCATACCCACCTGAATACTTCCGTTTCTATGTAAACTAAATACCTAATTATATTTGCGAATACTTCATTCATAATGATCCTATCACGATTATCAAATACTTTTTTATCATGTCACTGATAATGTCATAAAATAACTTTGTCCAACTAATTATGATGTTGTTCTTATTCATTATATTATCATTATACGGCCTGACGTCGACGTGAAACGACGTCAAGTTGTATTAAAAAGTTTTCAATAAAATGGACAAATCAAAGGACCGAGATATTGTTAGGAGTGTAATGAAAAATAGAAATGTTATTTTGAAGAAAGTTAAAAAACTAAAACTGTGGCTGTTTACCGGCAATTACAAAGTGTGTGTATTTTTAATTTGTGTTGTGTTGTAAATTATATATTGAATTTTTCATTTATGTATTGTATTTTTTGTGTAACTGTGAATACATTTGCTTCCTTGTGCGTACTGCGTCTGAGTCTGTATTGCCTGAAGGGTATAACCTGGATGTCTTCAAGGCCCGAGTGAATAGGTTACTTATGAGACGACGTGCTCCGTCGTAGACAGCAGGCGAGATAGTGGTCAAACGTCGGCCCATCAAATATATAAAAAACCATTTAGGTTTGATTCCCAAGTAAAAGTTTAATTTTAGTGCTATTTAATGAGTTCATTATACTTTGCAGAGTGATTTTACAACCTGACAATCTGCCACGCTCTACTTTTTCATTTTAAGCTGGCAAACTAAACCAATATTTATCTTTCGAGTTAACAAAACATTCTGAAATATTTAATGGTTTACCTTTAGCATGAGAGATGCTATACTATACTTTAAGAAAAGAATACAGTTAGACACTGTCTAAGAAGAACAGGAAGGAATTTTTATTTTTTCATATTACAGGATAGAATACATTAATGAAAACATAACATAACGTCACGCCTTTTACCTCTGAAGGGGTAGGCAGAGGTGCACTTAATGCCACTATACAATGTAACACCCACTTTTCACTACTTAAGTTATGTAATCCATATAATAGGGGTGAGCTCTTTTACTGATAAATGAACTCGTCGAGTACCGTCATTATAGGCACAATTATAGAACAATAGGTTGCGGTCACCGGTGACCGCTTGGTGTTTGACAGTTTAAGACATACCCACCTAAGATAAATATCGCCAGTCTCTCTGTCCAACACTTAAACCCAAATAATAAACTTCATCATCATCATCAAAAGCCGGAAGAAGTCCACTGTTGAATAAAGGTCTCCCCCTTAGTCCTCCACGTCGAACGACAACTCACCACCAGCATCTACTAACTCCTCGCAGCTCTGACGATGTCGTCACTAATATACTCACAAAAGTTATCTTTTCCAGGTGTGCAGTTGTTCAGTAAGCGGCTCCGTCACCAACATATCTACGTCCTCATCACACAATGAATCTCTACACAACCATCAGTTATTAAATAATACAGGTAAATAATGTATTCATTTAATTATGTACTTTATTGTTCATAGGAAGGGTACAGAAATTCCTACTTTAGGTAACATAAAATACAGTTTATTTTATATTAAATTGAATACTCCACTGAATTTTGTTAAGATTGCGATGTACTTTCGATGATCAAGAGATGAGTTCGTCAAGCGATTCTTTTGAAACTCATCTTTTAGTCTAGATTATAAAGTATATATTTGTGTTATGTTAAATTGTGCACACGTTATATTCTTTCATGTTTTCAAGTTATATTCTTCCATGGACTTCGAATAATTCGAAAGAAAGAAACTCCCTATAACAACCTGCTTATTGTATATTATTTATACAAGAGATAACAATATAAGAAATACAAATACCTATATTATTTTTAGCTACAAATTTGCGACTTAGTCCAAGTTATCAAAGAAATTTCCCCCGTCATGGCAAAGTAAACAGCATTCTTATAAGGAATTTTATCTTAGGTAGACACTTTCTTGTGATGCTGTGTTTACTAAAGATATATAGAATCAACATATCAGTAGAATAGAAGCAAATCTTTGCTGCTTTATTATTTCCTATAAATAATAAGATAGTAAAAGGAAATAATATTTCTTCTTTGATGAGGCCTTTTGAATCTCTCTGGGCTAGACTAAACCAAGTGACTTCATTGGTTCATTAGGATACTAGCGACCCGCCCGCGGTGTGAAAGAAGTGTATACATATAAACTTTCCTTAAGAATCACTCTATCTGTTAAAAAAACCGCATCAATATCCGTTGCGTAGTTTTAAAGATCTAAGCATACATAAGGACAGACAGACGGCGGATAGCGACTTTGTTTTATACTATGTAGTGATTAGTTCCATTAGATAATTTATTTTCCTAATCTATCGTTGTTCCCTACAATCCCAAGATAAAATTACGTTGCGGTTAAGCAATTATGAAGAAAATGTAACAAAAATATTATATTTTGTCATACATTAGTATTATGGGCAAATGTAGTTTGTAAAGTAGTATAATATGTAAAGATAGTGTGCTCAATTTCAATCTAATTTCTACATTATAGAGGTATATGTATTAAATAACACAACCATTGGTTCGATCCGAAAATCAAAAGTCTCTCACCTTTTGTTCGGCGTTCACACTTATCAAATCACCTTACAAACGAGTTTGTCTATTTACGAATTAATAAATCACTATTTTAGTAACAAGGTGATCTATATCGAATTAAAATAGTATTTATTTATTACGTCGTTGGTAAATTACGACCACAATATTGTAGTAAGACGAAATTGAATACACAAGTACACCAGTATACCAAGTTCAATAGTAAGTCAAGTAAGGCTTGTGGTAAATTCAATATTTCTTCAAAGGAGCATATTACGAATCGTCTATGATAAGAAATAGGTGCCGCCTATCGATACTCGCAATACCAGAGGATTTACAGAAGTGTTGTCGGAAAAGTCAATGCAAGCAATTTTTTTTAAAAACGATGTATAGAGATTTTACTGCACGGTTGGGCAACTGGCTGCCGCGCAACGTATCGCGGGTCCCATTCCCGCACGGAACAACTGTTTGTGTGATCCATAGATGGTTGTTCCGGGTCTGAGTGTCATTTGTATGTGAACTTCAGTGGCGTGCAGTCCATATAGGCAAAAAGACTTTGCCTACCTTACAAATACCGTGAATAACACTACGTAATAAAAGATATAAACATTTTAATTTTACTACAGAATACTAAAATAATAATTATAATAAAATTAGTGAACGCCTAAAATAAATAGTATAGCAACAATGATGGCGCGCGATACGTGTTGCATTTCGCCAGGCGTACCGTATATAGCTGTAAACATTAACGCGCGAGGCAGGCACGCGGTTCCGTCGCCTGCAAACCATTCATAAATTTAAGCGTGTAGTGCTGAACGTCATTGTGTGCGTAGTGCACAGACGCGTATATTTTATCGTCGCGAAGCTTGCCTGCAGGCACGGCCTGACGACTCGTGATTGAAGTTCGCCGCGAGCCGACCAATCACGTTCCGTGTCTTGGTTTACTCATTGGTCGCCTCGCAGCGAACTTCACGCCGCTCGCGCGTGACAATTTTTTTGTTTTTGTTTACGTGCGATGCGTGGATTTTCGGATAATTTTGTTATTTGATTTAGAATACGATTAGTAATTCTACGCAAATAATTTGTAGTAAACGGTATAAAATTGTCTATTTATATAAGTACATTTTATTACTGTGTTTGTTTATTTGTTAATTGATTTTGCAAAGTTATACGAAGAACTGTGAAGTTTGTATTGACAAAAGTTGGTAAAGAATTATAAACTATCGCAGACCATCGCTTAGTGATTAGATTGTGTGTGAGTTTTTCTTCTGATAGTCTTGTCTTGGTAAGTTCTATGAAAGTTACTTTATTTTAATGTGATTAGGTTATGTAACATAAGTAGGTACCTACGCGGAGCTTCCCGTCGCGGCAACTCAGTCAGTAAAAATAACGAAGCTTTAAGTAATATGTTATGTACTAATTATAAAATGAAATGAAGAAGAATAAGCTAGGTAAATGAATGTTTAATAATACTAAAAAATGTACTACCGCTTACTCGGCTCGGCCGCAGCCGGCCGCGCTCGGTTCGATTTTTCTATTAGTCATACCCAAGTTCTTAAAATCATAATATCTCTTGAATAGATGAACCAAACTTATTAATTCGAAGAATTAAATTAAAAGAGTAAAGAATTCGTAATATTCTTGTATTAAACGTGAGAAGGCTGGACAGGCCGCCAGTTCAGTACAATTTTTAGAATGAACAATTCGTTACTGCTACTGAATTGATTAATCGTTATACAGCACCTCGAGTAGGTAATTATGCAGATTAGTTTTACAAATCTAAAGAGAAAAATAGAATATTAATGTTTTTAAGTTGTTAGAGTAATCAATAAGTTGATGTAATACTTCACGAAAACAACGAGAGATGGCACTGTTACAAAGAATTGACGAAAGATTAAAAACCTCATAAGTTGAATTATGTTATGTATTTACGATGAGTTTAATCATAATACAATATTATGTTGCCTACCCTGTTCTAAAACCCTGTGCACGCCACTGGTGAACTTGTATGTTTATAAACGCACCCACGATACAGGAGAAAATCCTAGTGTGAGGCAACGTTTAACTCGTCGAGTACCGTCATTATAGACACAATTATAGAACAATAGGTTGCGGTCACCGGTGACCGCTTGGTGTTTGACAGTTTAATAAAAAGTGAAAAAGGGAATGATGGGGGCGAATTAAGCATTCAGATTCTTTAAAGTAACTCAATTAGTAATAATTGTAAATAGTAATAATAAAAAAGTAACTCAATTAATATGTATCTATTTGTTTTAATAATATAATAATAATGTAATTAATTCATTTTCTTTATATTCCAGGCCCAATATACGGCAACCTGCTATCATCAGGTGGCAAGCCGCTGTCATCCCCGACAGCTCGTCAGCAACAACAGCTAGCCGCCATCCAAGCTGCGAACGCCCGGCGACTCCCGCCCGAAGTACCGAAGCGGACTAGCAGTATTACACTCAAGTAGGTTACCCTTACTGTTCATTGATTGCATAGTTGACGCAGTGGCTGGGCAACTGGAGGTTCGAATCCCGCGCGGAACAACTCTTTGTATCCACAGATTATTGTTCCGGGTATGGGTGTGATGTGTATGTGATATTGTATGTTTGTAAACGTACCTACGACATAGGAATCCTAGTGTGGGGCAACTGTTTTTTATATATAGAAATTAAATTAGTGGTTAGTGAACTTATGTCCAAATCAAATTGCATATTAAAAGTGTTCCACAAAAATCTCAAGGTCTATTGAAATAATTTTGTTTGGCTAATCTGAAGGAAATCATTATTGATGTTAATTAATTGACTGCCTCGTTGGCCGAGTGGTCGCAAGTGCGACTGTCGGGCGAGGGGCCTTGGGTTCGATTCCCGGGTCGGGCAAAGAGTCTGGCAGGCACGGAGTCTGAAATTGTGGGCGATATATGGCTAACGGTTCACCTCCTATTACATGGGACTCATAACACAAATAGTAAAAAGTGGGTGTTACTTTTTACAGTGCCATTGAATTCCGTAATGTGCACCTCTGGCTACCCCTTCGGAAATAAAAGGCGTGATGTTACGATGTTACGTTATTTAACGTAAAATTCTGAAAAGTGATCAGAATTTTCGTCGTCAATTACAATAAAATGCGCTTTTCTCAGTGCGGAGAGTCCAGTCTCGCTTCGTCGAGCTGAATGTGGCGCAGTGGTCCGCGGTGGCTCCATGTCCTCAGTGCAGTCCTCGTCATCATCGTCGTCACAGGAGCACCGCCACCACTACCACCAGCCCTACCAACCTAGAGCTCCGGTGAGTAGACTTTAATAATATTAGAGTTGTTTTTGTGTTTATAAAGTACTTCCAAGGCAGCAAATAACTATTGGTAAGTGAAATGTAGCAGCTGAGTACTGTTGAAGAATAGGGAAGGTGACAGGGTATGAAAATTAAAAATTTAATTAGTCCGTCAGTTAGGTAATGAAAATAATTAGACACGTATATTTTTTATTTAATCGTATAAAGAAAGAAAAGAAAGAAAGTAATACCCATATAAAACGAATCAAAGTCAATATTTTATGTAATTGTTTTATGCTGTACCTAAAAATACAAATATAAGTATAGAATATTAATTGCGTCGAACATTTTCTTTGAATGCAACTCACAGGTTGAAATCGTAAGCAATTTTTGAAGTACCTTTTTGTGAACACCAGGTTTAAAATTATTATTATTGGTCTGAATGACGTATAAGTGAACCTAGTCCTGAATGTGGCATGTTCCCCTATAGGAGCCCGTGCAGGCGGCGTACGCAGGTCGTGGAGCTGGGTACGAGGAGAGGTTCTCGGTGTGGAAGCGCCAGGACGCGGCGCCGTACTACGAGGCGCCCGCCGCCTGCTGCCGGCCCGCGCACGACGCCCTCCACACGCACAAGGTCACCCGCACCGAGCCTGCCTACTACTTACACGACCTTATGTTCCTATTTAAAGTTTTCTATCCCTATATTGCAATACACTGCCCCAAAACACTTTTTATACTTACATCTAGATATTCTAGAAACACTTTGTATGGTTTCTTACTATAATTCTTTTGAATATTCTCTATTGTCTTTTATTACTTTGAACAACATTTTTTTTTCGTCTGTTCCACCGTCCTGAGAGCATTTTCTGTGATGCTTCCGTCTTATTTTTGTGCAAACCCTTTTTCTAATATATTCCTCTCTAGATACCAACACTTTAACAAAAATATATACACTTAATTCTTACTACATTAAATTCAAAAACAAAATCTCTAACAAGAATGTCATCAGCAGGTCTCAGAAACGGTTCGCAAGCGCCAATACCGCGTTGGTCTGAACCTCTTCAACAAGAAGCCAGAGCGAGGCATCGCCTACCTGATCTCTCGTGGCTTCCTTGAGAACTCCCCTCGAGGAGTCGCCAGATTCCTCATCACAAGGAAGGGACTTAGCAAGCAAATGATTGGAGAATATCTTGGCAATCTGCAGAATCCCTTCAATATGGCTGTGCTTGAGTGAGTATAATATTTTATACATATTTAAACTATAAATTGTACAACCAACCTCTTGTGAAAAAGTAAATTGAAAAACAAATTGAATATTCAAAAAAACCGATTATAAAAGAACTTTGGTATCTATGAACGTTTAAATATTTTTTGTTGTCATTGAGATTTATCACATAATTGAGACGGCATTCATTTTGATTAAGGCTACCAACACTAGTCATAAAAAAGACTATAAGCGCCGGTTTCACCACCTCCTTATAAGTACCTGATAAACTTATGTGACAGATAGTTCATATAACTTACATTCTTAATTCAATTTTATGTGGTAGATAGCGGCTATCCAGATATTGAGCAACAGGCCCTAAATCTATTTTCTTACTTACAGGTGCTTCGTAAACGAGTTAGACCTATCAGGTATGGCAGTGGACGTGGCTCTTCGTCGCTACCAGGCACACTTCCGCCTGCCAGGCGAGGCCCAGAAGATAGAGCGACTGGTGGAAGCCTTCGCTAGGAGGTACTGCGTCTGTAACCCTGACTTCGTGCAGAGATTGAGGACTCAGGATACGGTGAGTCGGGGACTAATATATTTTTTGGAAAATTATACGACTGCCATTTTATTTATGATTTGAATTGGACAATGGTTTTGCAAATGCACATCTAAAGAGGTCTTAGATATAAAGTGCAAATCACTCGGTATTTTTTATTGTGGTATTTGGCAATGTTCTTTGACATTCCTGGCCTTTTTAACTTTCTGTTTCAACACTTATTAAACTGATTAATTCATAGATGAATAGGTACAAGTAGCGCTTTGCCCTATATATAAGTGTGTAAAACAAACACTGTATAATATATATACTTTTACTGATTTCTTTGTTATTGTTAGAATTTGTTGCGTAATTTAGACTTAATGTCAAATGACAAGAAGTCTATATTTGATTAAAAATAAATCTCTAGCGTCCTGGATGCGTGTTTTATTTTTTATTTATTTATATAATATCATATTTATACCATATTAAAATACAATAATACTATAATATCTACTACAATTTAACTTTAAATACTATAAATACATATGTCGTGTTTTAGACACATATATCACATACAAAACCCTATTATCAAAATGCATTAATAATTTAATAACAATATTCTTTATTCACAGATATTCGTCCTAGCATTCGCCATAATAATGCTGAACACGGATTTGCACACACCGAACCTAAAACCCGAAGCTCGGATGTCATTGGACGACTTCGTACGCAACCTGCGCGGTATAGATGACTGCGGCGATATAGATCGAGATATGCTGGCCGGTATATACGATCGGGTGAAGTCCAGCGAGTTTAGACCCGGCAGTGATCATGTCACGCAGGTGAATATTGACTCTTATTTGTTTGGATGTTAGAGTATGTTTTGTAAGTTAATGGTAAAGACATGGAATACAGAAACCACGGGAAGTGCGATATAGGCATGACACGCATGTCATAATTACAATCATTGGTCTTACTTCGCTTTAGACGTTGTAAAGACGTTCATAGACGTATTCTATCAACGGGTAAAGTCACGTCTAGAAATAAAGATCGTTCAGATGAAGCTCAATAGTTCAAAACTTTCTTTTGATCTTTAATTTTTTGATCCAATTTACCATAATAAAGATATAAGTAGAGACATAAAAGGTGGATAAGAAACCCGTTACTATAACGTAGTTATGAACCATATGAATATCTAATCATATTCCATTATGTTCCAGGTAATGAAAGTCCAAGCGACAATAGTAGGCAAGAAGCCTCACCTGGCCCTGCCACACCGCCGCCTCGTCTGCTACTGTCGGCTCTACGAGATACCAGACATACACAAGAAGGAACGACCCGGGGTGCATCAGAGAGAGGTAATAATAATAATTACAAAATATATTATCGAGCTTAAATCTCTGAAACGACTGGATTGATTCAGCTGAATTATTCATATGGTGTTGCGAATGTCTATCGGTGGCACTAATCGCTTACCATCAAGTTACGCGTCTTTCCCTTTAAAATCAATCGGGCATAAAGTATCGACTTTAAAAACTTACAGCTAAGAAGTTGGCTAATTTTGAACGACAAGTTCCCAGTAAACGCTTAAAATTTAGACATGGCAATAATAATGGAACCTCATACAAGGCTTACTACAAATTATTTTCACATGGAATTCACGCTAACGTCTCTTAAAACATTGCAATCTAGAAACAACCCTAAATACATAAAAATAAGTACTAATCTTCTTTGTACCTTACAGGTGTTCCTGTTCAACGATCTACTGGTGATTACAAAGATCTTCAGCAAGAAGAAGTCGTCAGTAACGTACACGTTCCGCCAGTCCTTCCCGCTCTGTGGCATGCTCGTCAACCTGTTCTCTGTGCCACGTGAGTTTATACTTTATAACTATGGATTAAAGTTGGAAATCTTTAAAAAACAACAAAAGCAACAAAACAACAGTCCATTTTAGGCAGCACTACTAGACTTTGAGAATCGAATCCACTACTTATGAGGTGTTTACCATAATCTGCACAGTTGGCAAATGGATTGGAGATCAGAGACAAAATCACACCTTTTACAACAAAAAGAATTCTATAGAAATTTTATTTTCAATATTTTTCAGTACTATCATTTAGTTTGGATTTATGTAGTCTATGGGAAGTTCAGTTATGTTTGCACCTGGACTCCTAGTGGGACGAAGACACTCTTGATTTTGTCCTATTATGTATTTATTTATGTGTTTCTTTTCTATGTTCCAGACTACCCCTTCGGCATCCGTCTATCCCGTCGCGTAGACAGTCGACGTCTGGCCACATTCAACGCTCGCAACGAACACGACCGGTGCAAGTTTGCAGAGGACCTGCGAGAGAGCATTGCCGAGATGGATGAGATGGAGGCCATGAGGATTGAAGGAGAACTCAACAGGGGGAAGGGAAGAACTGCCGGGAATTCAGCTAGGAATGGTCAGTATTAAGACACAGAGGTTTAAGACACCCGATTTTACATACATGAGGGTGTGGTTTCGAAACCTACCATCGACAAAGTTGCTATGTGACTTTTGCGCGTTATATGTGCTTTCTTAGATTATTTAGACACTACTGACAATTGACTAAGGAAAACATCGTGAGGAAACCTAGGCTTATAATTACTAATTACAAGTTTGAGAGAGACTGCCTCGTTGGCCGAGTGGTCGCAAGTGCGACTGCCGGAA